AAAGACAACCCTTTAAAACTTCTTGTAGCTTTGGTCCAAAGTGAAGCCGTAAAAACCAATGTTCCTATACTAATTCAAAAGGTAGGGAGAGGTTATTGAAAATTCTAGCATTTCTTCCACCCAAATACACCAAAGAATCATCATGATCGCACAATGCCATAGTACTTTAGCTTCTTTTTTCTTTTCAAAGCCCCAATATTTAATTCGCCACATTTGCTTTGCTGCAGAAGGGCAAACCCAAGTCTCGCCAATCAACTTGAATAATGTATTCCACAAGTTCCATGCAAAATCACTGTGAATAAATAAATGAGCATTCAATTCATTGTTACACTAACAAGTAAGACAACTGCCAAGCAAGACAAATATCTGGACTCAGTTTTTTAGGGCCTCCAAACTTGCAACAAATTGTTAGTGTTCACATGATTAAGGACAATGGTCCAAACAAAAGCCTTAATTTTGGAAGGAACTTTGAATTTCCAAATGAATTTGGCCAAAGGGAAAGAATCATTATTATTAGAACTAACAAGATGTGAATAGAAGGATTTGGATGAAAATATCTTAGATTTATTAAGAAATGAAAATTCCAAGAACATAAGCCCTTCTCCGTGACGAGAAAAGAGGAAATAAGAGCTTCTTGGAGTGAGGATAATTAAACGATAAAGACGGGGAAATATATTATGAAAAGATAAGTTTCCAATCCATGTATCCTCCCAAAATAGGATTTTGGATCCATCATTGACTTTATATCAAGTCATTGGAAGAAAAGAAGGGTAAATCTGTGAAAATGAACTTCCAAGGTTGAGTTATGCCCTGACTTAATATCACACCCAGTGTTGTGAAAAGGCAGTATAGGCGAGGGCCTAGGCGAGCTTTGGTCGCTTTGAACATCCAAGGCAAAGCGAAGTTAAGTAAAGCGAGAAAAAAACGAGCTTCGAACCGAGCGAGTCAGGCGAGAAAAGCGAACGCCTGACTGCAATTTTTTTATTTTTTCCTCCCCCTCCCCCCTCCCCCCATCCTCCTCTTCCTTCTTCTTCTTTAACATTAACCAAACCCTAGCAGAGATAATGTTATAAGTGTGTATGTATAAAATAAATTAATTGATTCGTGTAACAGTATCATATGACAATCTGTCTTATCATGATTAGATAATTTTAAATGCTTTGTTTTGATGTGAATAATCTTGTTAAACAATTTGCTTGGTTAATTAAATTGATTAATCAATTTGCTATATGCTCTATTTGATTAATCAATTTGTGAGTGCTTTGTTTAGTGATGATATTAATCAATCACGATGGAAGTCGAACCCACATTTGCTAACTTTTACATTTAGATGACGTGATTATATCAATTGATTATTTTTAGAATACAGTAATGTTCAATATTTAATATCTTGTCTATTTAAAATATGTTAATGTTTATTATTTTGATTTCATTTAAATATTTTATATTTGCAATGTTAAAACTTGAATATATTGGAGTAATTAAAGTATGAAACTAAAATATTTGCTTATTTTTTGTATTGTTCGCTTTGCTTCAATGAAGCGCTCGCTTCGTTTCTCGCCTAGGTCCTCAGGAGACCGGTTCGCTTCGATTCGTTTTATGCCTTAAATAACACTGATAACACCCATACTTATAAAGGGAGTCAGGTTCTAATGGGAACCTCCATAACTATTTTCCTACTAGGAAAATGTTTTTAGGCGCCAAATTACTAAGTTCCAAACCCCCTTCATCTATAAGTTTACAAATTGTCTCCCAACTCACTAAGTGACTTTGTTTATCATCTCCCACCCTGCCCTAGACCAAAGAAAGTCCATCATCGTCTTATATAATTTACCAACTACTGCTACAGGGATTCTAAAGAGTGACAATAGTACAAAAGAATGCTAGATAAACATGCTTTTATCAAGGTGATCCGTCCCTCTAAGAGAAAAATATGTCCTCTTCAAGCCACTTTCCTAGGTTTGCCTTGCCTCAACATCTAAAAAAAGAAAGGGCGGGCGCCGAAAAGGAACCTGCCCAACCTCTTCAAGAAAGCTTTGCTTGGTAGGCGCTGCCACCTTACAAAGGTTACAAATCTATATGCTGCTACACACAAAATCTCCAAAAATCAGGCCTAGAGAAAGTTCACAGGTTAAATGGTGTTCATTAAGATTGTGGAGAGAGAAAACTGGAAAGGAAGAGTAAAAGAGAGGAGAGGATTGTAAGTCCGTGAATGTGTTTTTTTTTTATTTGGGGCGCCGGGGGCCGGGGGGGGGGGGGGGGTTGGACGTGGAGAATGAATGAGACATGTTCACATGAATTTATAGAAATGTTCAGTAGTTTAGGGCTGAATTCTACTGCTAGTGTAACAGGAACTAGCAATAGAAGTTATAAAATTTCTAAACTATTTTCATTTGGAGTATATTCTATCTGAATAAATTATTAATGTGCTTGAATAAACTATATACGATAAACCGAGACCTGGCTTGTGAATAGCTCGGTTTTTGCTCGAGCTCGACTTGGATACAAAATGAGATTGAATAATTGTTCAGATTCAGTTCGTATTTTAATAAGAAAGCGCTTGAACGAGCCAAGAACCGAGCCTTAGCCAAGCTTGAGCTTTTCGGTTTATCTAACTTCCTTACTCTTTTGCCGTATGCTTCTACCCTTGAAGGTGTTTGCGACACTATGCATCTGTTTTTTTTTTTTTTTTGTGCTGCAATGTAACTTTTGTTGCTAGGCAAGTAGTTGGGCTGGGGGGCATACTGCACAATTATTATATGATTCAATTGTGGTCACGATGATAGACACACAGAGATGTCGCAGTGGTGCTTGGCAACCCATGTATAATGGTCATTAATTACCATCTTTTCTCTCAGGTCTGGGTTATAATGACAATATGGCAACTAGATACCAAACCCAGTCTCAGATCATGAATTCCAATTCCCACCCTCAGTTTGACAGCACTCCATTTGCTCCGCATGACCAGAGAATTAACAATTCTCATCATATGCAAACTAGAGAACATAATAATAGGGTCGGACTGGCCCTTGGTCCTCCGCAATCATCTTCATCCTTCCATACAGTAAGCTCCTCTGTTCAGCAATCCAGTCTTAACCCCTTTGATGACTGGTCCCACAACCGGGACAAGGGTGTCGAGGACTTCTTGTCAGAGGAGGAGATTCGCATTAGAAGCCATGAGATGCTTGAGAATGAAGATATGCAGCATTTGCTTAGACTCTTCAGCATGGGAGCTCATGCCTCTGTCAATGTGCCTGACGATGCTTATGCTTTCCCATCATACATGTCATCACCTTCTCCGAACTTCAGTTTTGATGAGGATCGCAGCCGTTCTGGAAAAGCTGTCGTGGGTTGGCTGAAAATCAAGGCAGCAATGAGGTGGGGCTTCTTCATAAGGAAGAAGGCAGCTGAGAGGCGGGCCAAGATTGTGGAGTTAGAAGACGAATAGTTGGGTATTGGATGTTGACAATGTTGAATCTCAACAGTGGAAGCACAAATTCAAGGCTTTGGAACTACACTGAAGATTTCAGGAGTCTTTAGAACCCCTGATGGTTGTATAGCAAACATCAGACATGTCATGTACAGTTTCCTGTACAGTAAGTTGTTCAAATTAACTGACGATGTATTAATGTGAATGCTTTTCGCTCTTGATTCTGCTTCTTGTTTGTTAATTATATCTGGGTTTCGGACATGAAGGTGCTTATGACTGAAAATGATGACCTTTCTCGAGCCTGACGACTGATTAGGGAAACATGTATGAAACTTGGTCAAGCTGCCTATGACCTTTTGCTGTTGATTGTTGTATAAGAATCGTGCTTAATTTTTTATTACATTAAATATGCTTATGAGCTCGTCCTGTGGGTGCTGGAATTAAATTTGTACTTGTTTGATAAACGTTACGAGCATAATGAATGCGATATCTTTATTATCCTGAATCTTTTTATTTTAGAGAATTGAATTGCATAAATATTGCCTCATGTGGTGGTTGTCATTGTTTGTGACCATTGGTATTGTATTTTTGGCTTTGTTTCCTTTTCTTTGTACGAATTGAACTGGAAACCATAAAAAAAGAAAGAACAAAAGACAACAGGTGAACATTCTCACTTGCACTGGTGGCTTGTTCATAGAAATAGGTAAATTAGACGACTTAATAGGAGGTAACATCTGTTGGTTTATAGCAATGTCTATGTGGTGATTGAATGATTATGGGGATTCAGTATTAATATCTCTGAATTTGCTAAATACTATATCACTTTTTATGTCTCACAAGTAAGTTTGTCATTGGATCGGATTTTGATTCGAATCTGAAACTGATTAGTTGAATATGAATTAATATTTTTTTATCGATAATCCGAATTCGAATTCAAATCTGATATTTTATATTTTACGGATTTAGATTTAGATATATTTATATCTTATCTGATTATGATTTGATTTGAATTATTTATATACATATTAAAGAAATTAAGTAATTATTTAAAGAAATTTAGTTATTCGGATTGGATCAAAATTTTGAATTGTTAACAGATTAAGATATGGACTACAAAAAATAAAATTAGTTGGATTATTAGATCGAATTTTTGAAATCAGATTCGAATTCAGATTAGTTAGAATCCGATTTAAACCCAATCTGCTGACAGGCTTACTCACAAGCTCGATTAATTTGGATAGAAAGTGTAAGAATGCATTTTGTTTTACCAATTTTTTTTATGAATACACCCAAGAAAATACATGCATTTTTTAACATACTTTATCCAACTTCATAGGAGAGATCTAACCACAAGGGAAAAACTGAAATTTGTTCTTCTGACCGACATAATTTTGATTTTAATGAATCAAAACTAGAAAAATTAATCAAAACAAATAATTTTTCGTTTAATCAAAACAACTGAGAAAAAAGAACAACAATAAGCTGACTTGCATTGTATCAACCAAATAAGATTTCAAATCCAGTCCAAGGATGTTGCTTGTGCAGCCTCTTCCTTTCCCCAAGGACTGCTTCAAATGGAGCATTCTTGGGGTAAGCCTTGTGGGAAGTGCATTGTGTCACTACAGTAATTGTATATCATGTAATTCTTTTGCACTCCATTGAGCTTCGCTTGGTCTGTTGAATCCAATTCTTCAGTCAGCCAAGCAGTAGAATTGCCTGTTGCTGGTGTTGAACTTGAACTGCATGAAGATGAACCTGAAGACCATACACAGGCATCAGCACTGAAATTTCTATATGAGGCAGTGAAGGGAGCTTGGCTCCAGTCTGTCTTCACCAGTCCCCCCCTTGTTGCCCAGTCATCCGCGTTCCAGAGACTCGAATATATCCTCATTGGCTGGTTCTTTGGGTATGGAACCCCAATCGATTCTGAGTTTTTGAACTCCCTAATGGGTGTTCCATCCACTGAAAATCTGAAATGAGCAGAAAAATCTAGTCGGCACTGATACAACTTTAGAATTGTTCACTTAAGTGCAATTTGTCGTGATGTAATATAATATTCAGAAGTTTGAGGTCAAACCACAGATAACTGAGAAAACTTAATGTCTTGCCTAACGTAATTAGTCAATAATAAATATCAAAATAACATAATATCTAAGGTTAATCAAGCACAGAGATGAGATAAATCGAATTTTTGATCATCATCCCGGGTGAGCATGGACCCTTGATAGGGTACCTATGACGAATGATAGGATTGGACTTTGTCGAGTTAAATTGAGTTATTTCGGGTGAGAATGGAAATTGTACTTGCATGACCCTTTGGGGTTCCACAGGATGGAATAGGTGTGAAAATCTGCTGTTGGGTCGAACCAAAGATAGAATTGTTGCTCTCTGTTGCCCTTGCCTTGGCCGAACACATTGGTGTGAAGAATATAAGGATCGCCACTCAAGTTCCCCAAGAACTCAAAATCTATCTCATCATGATTTGATCCTTGTGAGGACAACTGCATCAGAAACAAAACCAGGACTTCATATTGATTAGAAAAATTAAAGAAAGAACCCGCACTTTCTGAATTTGAGTCTTAGTGGTCACTTAAACTTGGGTTTAACCGGTGCACCTAATTTGTTAGTAATTTGCATGCAAATAAAGTTTGTATTGCATGTATTGAGTCTAAAGGACGTATAGTTGGGACCGTTCTCCCGAATTACCAAAAGGAAGTATTATTAGTGCTTCTAAACTAAATGATGAGGCAAACTCTAATAAAAGACTGCAACTTACATAGCAAGCAGTGACAGTGCCAGCTGAGTTCCCAGGGACAAGCTTGAGCTGCATGTCTATTTTTCCAAAGAGATACTCATTCTTGGACCGAAAGCCTGAGCCAGAGGCTATGTCAAGTGAGAGAGTTAGAAGCTCCCCATTATTGACAATTTTAGCCCTGCCC